TCCAAAAGCCCCGACCCCCCTCTGACCCAAAGCTAGCTTCGATCCGAAACAGGACTGATCTCGACCAAACAAATAGCCAGCAGTGTGCAGGGTTTGGGTTAGGGCTTAGGGTTTCGGGTTTTGGGTTGCGTAGTGTTACGCAAGTCAAACTATTGCTGCTGTTATTTAGTTATTCTTGTTGGTAAGACGATGTTCGTCTCCGGCATTATACAGTTATTAGTAGTATTAGTAGTATTAGTAGTAGTAGTAGTAGTAGTAGTAGTAGTAGTAGTAGTAGTAGTAGTAGTAGTAGTAGTAGTAGTAGTAGTAGTAGTAGTAGTAGTAGTAGTAGTAGTAGTAGTAGTAGGGTAGTGGTAGTGGTAGTGGTAGCGGTAGCGGTAGCGGTAGCGGTAGCGGTAGTAGTCGTCGTAGCAGCAACTTGGTAGTAGTTGTAATACTTAGGAGTAGGCAGTAGTAGTAGTAGTAGCAGTAGTAGTAGTAGTAGCAGTAGTAGTAGCAGTAGTAGTCTTAGTAGCAATCGTAGTAGTAAGAAGTGGTGATGGTAGTAGTACCTAAGTAGGCACTAGTGGTAGTAGTAGCAAGAGTAGAAGCATATCTAGATCACGGAACCAGCCAGTGTGTGGTAAGACTGTGGGTGCAGTTGTAAACTAGTAAGTTTAAGAGTAGGCTTTGGGGAACCAGAAGTCGTCTGACTGTTTTGGGTCCTTATTGGACACTGCGGATTCCGTCAGACCGTGCCGCCGCGAAGACTCCGTCAGATGGCTACAGCTGTACTGTGATTAATTCTAGTCAGTATCGTGTAAGTTCATTGGTTCTGTTATTTTAATTCAGGAGTCTGTCGCGTTTGACAACGGCTGTGAGCCACCGTTCCGAAGTTGAGGCTGTTGTCAAGTCAGACCACCAGCCGACATGATGCAGGTCTACAGTCTACAGCAAGTGCGCCCTGCAGTTTGCAGTTCAGCAGCAGGTCATTTTCATAAAACTAATTGGTAAGACTATTGGGGAGCTGCTTTGTGGCATGTGGTCTGGAGAATCTGTCCACTGAGCTCGACCGAACTTGGTCAGAACCCATCTGTAATACAATTTAATAAAGACTAGCTGAGGCTGTGTTGATACTACGTCAGACCATGCAGGTGAGCTGCTTAGTGGAGTGCTGCGCATGCGCCACGGGCAGTTCTCGGCCTATCTAACGTCCGGGCTGTCTCCTGGTGAAATTTAATTCTGTAGTAGGACGACAACCCCGGCGGTCCAGCCTCGGTGAATCACCGAGGCTGGACCGCCGGGGTTGTTTGTGCGCTGTAGTAGGACGACAACCCCGGCGGTCCAGCCTCGGTGAATCACCGAGGCTGGACCGCCGGGGGTTGTTTGTGCGCTGTAGTAGGACGACAACCCCGGCGTTCCAGCCTCGGTGAATCACCGAGGCTGGAACGCCGGGGTTGTTTGTGCGCTGTAGTAGGACGACAACCCCGGCGGTCCAGCCTCGGTGAATCACCGAGGCTGGACCGCCGGGGTTGTTTGTGCACTGAGCTCCTGAATCCAGGCGACGTCGTGCAACTAAAGCTTCTCCCTCGGTAATAATATCTTCAGAAGCCTCCATCAGATGACCTCCGAATCGCAAATGCCGACCTGGATTCGGCCCAGGAGTTTCCATGACCTCCTGTGGAGCTCCGGCTGGTCATCACTCAGTAATGACCAGCTGGAGCTCCAAAAGAGGTGGGGCCTTGTTGTCCACGTGTCACCATGTTAGACAAGGCCACGCGGACGGCCAGGTGGTCATGACGGAGTTAAGGCCATCCGCATGGTTGTCAATGCTTGGTTCAAGTAATTCTGTCAAGGTGCCGAAAGTGATTTACAAGAGCAAGAGGTGCCGTTCAGAGGATGGCCCCTCTTGCTCTTGTGAATCACTTGCCCAAAGGGAGGTGATTCAAGCATGCAGGGGGTGCGCTTCAGAAGTCTGAGGCGCACTCGTTGCATGCTTGAATCGCGGATCGGAGCCTGAAGGACGACGAGTATCGTCCTCTTTCAGGTTCCGATCCGTGCCTCTTGCAGATTTAAGTGCAGCCTGGGTCTCAACTCGTATTATGTTTCGTTATGAAATGAATCGCTGCTAAGATCGTTTGTTACGGCAGTAGCCCACATCGTCAGACGAGTCAGACACAGGCTGCACATTGCACAATCCGTTGAAGAATCGCAAGACTTTGTCAGACGACCTCGGGCTGCCCGGTGCAGACTTAAGCATTTGGGTCCCGTGTAGACCAGTGACAGAACTGTACCGTGGCCCCAGCCCCAGGTCAGAGTGCACTGCAAACGTATTGATTCGTGTCAGACCTCATGCTCGAAAAAGGCATGTTACAAATCGCTTGCATTCCGTTTTATCGACGTCTGGAATCAAATGCTGAAATCAACAAGCCCATATCCTCCTGTAACTACAAAATAGGAAAAAAGATAAAAAGCTCTTTCTTTTTTTCCCCTGGCCACTCGAGATTCAAGAAAAAGAAAGCATCTTCGGGAACCCTAGACCTGGCCTGTAATGTATGGGCCTTAGTAATTAGAACAGGGTTTGCGGCCCAACATACTATAACTTTAATAAGGAACACGCAAAATAGTTTAGGTATTTATGAAGGCCGCTATGGTATAGAACCCTACTGTAGATCCCTGACAGGACCCTTTGAAGGAACCCTAGGTGATTATGAAGGCCCCTATATTATAAACCAGGTCGTCGCCATGATCCAGCGCCTCCGCGCTGCAATCGACGACTTGCTGCTTCGCAAGGTGCTCGCTGTGGAGCCCTCTGAAGGGTCTGAAAGACGAAACGAGCCCACTATAGGGGCCTAAATTAAAAATTAACCCATACTAATGTGGGTGTTCCGTATAGTAACTGTAGCGTAATATAGCTGAAACCCTATTCTAATTGTCCAGGCCCCCGTTATTGCCTACCGTCCTGCGGCATGGAATCAGAGCCGACGTTCTCAAGCGTCTCATGTTATGCATCCTTTGGTGGGCCTGGGCGTTTGCTTTGTAATGTAAGTGACTGATAGGTGTAGGAGGCTCCCAGGCTCCGATAGGGAGAAGCTAGAAAATCTTACTGCACCCTCTAAATTTGGCTGGGGCGGACCGTGCAAAGAAAGTTGTTTTCCCGATCCAGATTTTTGTTGGGAAGCAAGGCGCAGAAAGGTTCGCTTACACAGGGAGGTGAGGCCATCAATCCGATGAGGCTGGATCCCAGCAGGCTTCTTGCACTCGGTTTGGATACCAATAACAATAAGAATAAGAAGAAGAGGAAAGATAACTATAATCCTGGTAAGAACAATAGATGTCAGGGTATCCCCAATCATGGTAAGTCAGTTTCCTGGACCAACCGCCGATTTCTGCACCCTATCTGCCAAAACGCTCAAAACCCCCAACCCAAAAAGCCTAAACTCAAAGATTTCATGATCCTCTTAGTGGAAACAGGTCCAGGAGCCCTCAGAGATCTTGTCCGTTGGCTGCAGCGCAGGGTTTCTAGTCTATAGTGGTTTTATGGAGGCACTTATCGCGGCTGCTTAGCGGCATGTGGAGATTTCTAGAGGCTATTTTGGCGGTTGTAGAGGTTTTTTTTTTTTTAAGAGGGGGTTGGGGTGGGTCCGGAGGTTTATGGGGTTCTGCAGCCAGCTCCCTGATCCATGCATTTGTACTTACCAACCTTCGAGCACTCGATCTGCTGCTTGGGGATGGCTTTGATTTGGACCATTCGTACACATTTGCAAGGAACAGCAAGAAAAGGAAACGCCGGAGTAGCACGAGTCACAATTCATCCTATATGGCCCCGATAGGCAAGCCACTGAAAGCTCGTCTGTTAAGTTTTCCGGCGCCTTTTATGGGTTCCGTGATACGGTCATGGGCTGCATGGTGTGCTTCAAGAACCAGCTGAGCCTGGCATTGCTGCGATACTACTCTGCTGCACTATTTGTAATGCAGCCGGGTCGACCTAGTGCTATGGCTCTCGTTTACAGAACCAGTTCCTTTTTCTCAGGTCCGGTGACCCTGTGGCGCAGTGTGTCGTCACGCTTCTGACCACCGACGGCCTCGGCTAGCCTTGGGTGAAAATGAAGTCCGGCCCCAAATTTTGAGTCGTCAGCTGTGGTCCGAGTTGTGAGAGCGCACATCGGGCTAAAGCGCCTTGCTTGTCGCTCCGAGTGCGAGACTCTGAACCTGAAACCTGTCGGAGAGTTTCCCCCAGCAGCGCTACGTATAGTTTGCTGAAACTAGAGGCATCTCTGAAGGCGTTTTCATGATAAGAAGCCTACTAGGTCTTGTCTATACTGCTTTGCCAGGTGCCGGGTACCCCAGCTCTTGAAACTCCCATATGTTAGGGTATCGACAAGGCATCCCTCATTAATCGCTTCCCCCTAATATTAAACAACCCACCTAATAAAAACTAAGGTGGGGGGGGGGGGGTAGGATTGCATTTAGTGATAATAGAGCCAAGACTACAGTAGCGGCTGTAGGGTTGAGGCTTAAGCCTGCAACGATTTGCAAGTGGCGGGCGCTCAAGTCTCTCTTCAAAACCTCTTCCAGTAGACAAATGGGAGTTTCAGAAAACAGGGGACCTCAATATACTGCCCTACATAGTAAGATCCTTGTTATCAGGACCCCCTTAACTGAGGCACCCCCCTGTTTTCGAAGGTTCCGTGTTATGTTTATACTACAAGATACCACCAAAAGCGCATGCAAATCATTAAGGTCACTATATTACAGAGCTTTAAAGGTTCTGGGGCCGTCAACCCCACGCCCCAGTCCCAAGTAGCTTAGTAGCTGAGGTAAGCTTGAGCCTTTCTAGGAGTATTTTATATTCTTTGCCGAACCCTTCAGGTAAATTTTTAATCACCCTTGGATACTGAGCAAGTAGGCCTACTGTAAACACCAAGCGCTCATTTGGCGACGCCGCTGGCTCAATAGAACAGGGCACGAACGTGACTCGTCGTGAACATATCCGTCAAAGCATCTCGCTTTCAACCGCCATGGCAGGCCGGATTCGCTGAAAAGCCTGCAACGGTTTCTCACGAGTTGTGGAAGGATGATATAGGGGGTTCTTTGAGGGTTCTTTTTGATTTCATTGCTTCTGTACAGGGGGTGTCACAGTGTTTTTTGGGTTGCTAGTGCTTCCTAAACCATGTAGTAATGGGTCTCGAGGCATGGTCCTTAACTCAGCTTTCCCCGGCTCTGTGTTCATGTTCTACCGGTTCACCGTCATGAAAAAGTAGGCTGCTGCACGTCACACAACCATATTCCCCCAACAGGGAACCTTGAACCATGAGCTAAATTGGGCGGCTTTTTCCATCTGATGTAGGGGTCCTCATTCTGCGAATGATACCATGTTGGACTGTGCGTTTGTGGTTTGTTTCTACTAATGTGACCGCGCAATATAGAAGCATCGATGTCCAAAACGCTAGTCTAGGCATTAATGCCAAGAAGCCCCGTACACAAAAAGCAGCCTTAGTGTGACATGATCCCTGCTGGGAGGTGCTCCTAACTCGCCACGATTTGAGTCCGACAAGGAGGATGGTGAGGAGAGATTGCCGGAAGAGCTGTCAGTACTTCCTGAAGCCCGAAACCCCGAGGCCTAAACTCATCGACATTTGTTCCATGCACTCTAAACCCCAAACCTTACCTAGCTCGATCTACAGAAAAAATGTGTATGTATATATATATATATATATATAGACGCCCTAAATCTGGGTCCCTACAGAACCATATATCAAACGTAAATTTGCATCCTGAATCCTTGAGACCCCGAAACCCCCCCCCCCCCCCCAGGAGTCTAAGACCCGCAAGCTTGTCTTCGACGGAATCGACGCTGCGGCCAAATGCCCCTGAGATTAATTATATAGGGTATATGGATTTATTTCCGGGCGAGAGAAGCCTGCGTAAGGGTCCATGTAGGAGTAGTCACTGCGTAATTAGCCCCTTTACGGGTTCTACAAGGCCTCCTTTCAGGGTTGCTCTCAGGCTTTTTACTGGAGTTCTTTGAAGCGTAGTACTGGTAAGTGGAAAGCAGATATCGGAGGCTCCATGGCTCGGAGTGTTTCGGTTTGAAGGCGCTGGGGCTTGGAGTGTTTTGGGGGCTTCGAGGTTTCGGGGGTTGAGGTTTTGGGGCTTTGACTAGAGGTTAGTCGGGTCGGTCCAGGTAAGGGTGAGTTCAGGACAATGGGGCTTTGGGGGGGGTTGTTACGCACGCGGAGCACGACACTGTGAAGAGATGTATGCTATGTAGGGCTCTTTCTTAACAAGCTCAGTTTGGATAGCCGTTCAGGTCCCAAGCGAGACTGCAGTCTAGGCCGTTTGGGACTGCGGGTTTCAGCTTTTCTTCTCTCTACCGTGACTGAAACGTCCATGAGCCTCCGGAGCGGCCCTCAACCCCCAAGTCGTCAAGCCTCATTACCTGGTTAGCAGGGAATGGAGGAATGGGGTACAATTATCACTACTATTACTACCATTTTTCCATTCCCTACTAACCAAAGGTAAGTTTCTCCAGCGCTCGTGACCCATCAAACAAGCGTCGGGTATCCAAGGCGATGGGGTGGACGTCGACAAGCGCATGCTCGAAGGGCGTAAGGCGATTCCATACTGTGCACGGGAATCTTTGTGGGACGGTATGGTCAAGGTTTGTGGCTCAAGCACGTAGAGACGCCCCCAAGCCCCTCAGAGAAGAAATGATCTTGAATTGTGCTTGCATGTTTGGTCTTCTCTAGGGTACGTTACTTTATTAGGAACTGGTCGCTTGTGGGTTTTCTGTGTACGATGTGATAGGTGCATCATATTGAGCCGAGCACTTTCTCAGAGATCTTTCCCAAACGCAGGGTCTGAAAAATCCTATCCGGTATATAGTAGGCCAGACTCTAAACCTTGAACACTAAGTCACTAAGAAATCAACGACCATTGGGCAAGTTGGACGACACCCTCGAAACCTAGAAACCCCGCCACCCCCTCCCCCCACACCCTCGAAAACCAACATCGGGTCCCATAATCCCGAACGTAAATAAATTTAGGGGCTTAGGTTGGGGGACTTATGGTAAAAGTTGAATCCGTTGGGACTTTTCGGTTCCTGGGGAGATCCTGCAAACCCGCGCCAAGCCGTGAATGCAGGCCCCTGACGAAGCAACCCCTTGAAGGGCCTTAGTTAATGCTTAGGATCCGGATCACAATCCTTCATTCATTATTCAGTAACCCTGGGGATCAACATAGCGCAAAAGCCTTATGTAGTATGGTCTTTGGGCCCAAAAGCCTTAATAGATGAGTCCTTGGATCCCTTATATAGGGTAATGAAGGGAGAGCGTTTATGCATCACAGCGGGGTACAGTGCGCCCTGCGAGCAGGCCAATCGTGGGTTCACCATCGCAGCAGGGACGGCCGTCGATCCGGATTTCAGACGCCTGGCTCAGGTTTAATGACAAATGTTTACGCTTGATTAAGGACTTGAACAGTAGTTAGGATCCCATTTAAAATCCTGCGCCCTAACCACAACTTTGAAATTCAAGCTTGAGCTAGGGCGTTTTATGAACATGAGATCCGAAAAACCATACTACACCTATCTACCCAATGCTTCGGGCTTGAAGGTTTTTTCCGGCCTGTGGTTTCGGGTGCAGTCTTTCGGGTTGTTCATGTCTTGGGGTCCTTCTGGGGTTGACGGGTTCGGGCTGGGACGAGAGGTCTTGAGTTTTGCAGACCCCGGCACCGCCTTGATGTTTGCGGGCTGATTCCTTGTAGGGTTGCAAGGTGGCTCACAAAGTCCACAAGGGCACCTATAGCTATTCAAAAAAAACCGGCTCATCAAGCCCTAAGAAACCATCATCCGGTCTGAACGAACCCGGGGAAAATGTCCACTGTAGCAAAGCATACCTAGCGAACCCCGGCACGATTTGTGTCTCGGTCGCAAGTAGAGCCTAGCTCCACATTCCTACGTCGAGTATCAGGGCGCGACCCGGTAATCAAGGGCCCAGGACCTACTGTTTTGGTTTTGCAAGATTTGGGCCCTTACCTTCCCACAATCGCACTCTACTTGTAGAACCGTAGACAGGTAGGTGTTATAGAAACCTTCCAACATGGGTTGTGGGTTGAGTCCAAGCCCCTTATAGGAGTTTCCGAGAATTGGGGTACCTTACTTTAGGGTCCTTATAATAAGGATCCTACTATTTAGGGTACTATATTAGGGTCCCTATTTTCGGAAACTCCCTTATATCCCCTAAAGACCGAACCACGGGACTGGCCCTTGTCCGGCGTGCCGAAAGCACTCAGAAGATCTTACACTTAGTCCGAAACCAAAAGCTCTGCCCAAAATCTCTAGGCCCTAAACTGAGCCCTAAACTTTAAGCCCTTATTATAAACTAAACGCTATGAAGCCAACAGCTGTGCCCAAAACCTCTAAGCCTTAAACTGAGCCCTAAACCCTTAAACTAAGCGGCGCTACGAAACCTGTTCCAGGCGACCTCCGCAACTCGAAGCGTGCACAGACGCTCCCAGCCGACTGCTCCCGTCGCGGCTTGGCTGGGTTTAAGGGTCTAGGGTTTGGGCTGTCCTTATGTTTGTTTGTAACTCTCCGAAGGCCCAGGGCGTTATTCCAACTAGTCGTTTTATTTCAGGTCTGAGGTGCTGCTACAGTTCAGGTTGACTGTTCTTCAGGGCTTCTGAGTCAGAAGGGGAGGGAGAGTGAGTGTGACGGGATTCTGAGGGTGTGCGATTTCGTGTTTTGTGGCTTTCTCATTTTTTTGGGGTTAGAGAAGAGAGGCACACAGGACCCCCACGCCCCTGCTACCTAGCTGCAGGCGAGCCCCAAGCCCTAAACCCTGAGAAGCTTGTAAGGATGAGGCTGTGCGGCTCGAAGTTTGCAGCTTTAGCGCTCAGGGTTTACAGTAGAAGCCAACAAGTTGGAAACCTAATAGCCTCAATCCTTAAGACTAATGTATAGGGAGTCGCAGCAATATTTGGCCTTAATTAGGTTTCCAACTTTATGGGGTTTACTGTAGCGTCACGGATGGCAGTGCCTGATTGAAGCTGGCTGAAAAGGAATACCCGCATGGAGGTTTCAAGATGCCGGGGCTCTAGAGACAAGAATGCTTCTTCTTGCATTTCACAGCGAGTTTTCCCGAAGAGCGCCAACATTCACAGCACCGAACACTTTCGGTCAGGGTTTCAGGACAGGTAGGCAAAGAGCCACAGTACATGTCTGCGTGCAATGCAGGCTTCGAGTTCTTGCGACGCGGGACTCTTTGCCCTAAACCCGAAACCCTTAAAGCCTAAACCCTAGGTATCTTACTCAGAACAAGTTTGGAGTGTCGGGGGGGCCCGGAATTCTGAAAGCAACCCAACCCCAAACAACCCCCAGGATCCCTCTGAGGCTGCTCCCATCTCAACCCTAACGTAGGGGTCTTACTAATTGGAATAGGGTTTTGTGGCCCGTTATACTATAACTATAAAAGAGCCCCTAAACCTCAGCTTTACTAGTCAACCTAAACGACTGCATTGCTGCTCAACCCTACCCCGAAGCAAAGTTCCTGTAAGGTGGTGACTTCAATATGAGCGATGACAGCAAGAAGCAGTTGGTCTCCGACTCAGTTTGTAATGTTCGGGCGCCGGGGCGTGGAGTCTTTTACGGGTTTAGGATTTCGGTTGCGGGTGCAGGGCGTACCTGAGTGTTCGAGAGTTGGAGCATGGGTTGGGGATTCGCGATCCTCTTTCATACCAGGGCATGAGGACGCTTATGTTCTAACTTCTGGCCCCTGCATTAGACCGCTATCTGTTTTCGGAGTATGTAGAAGTGGAGGCCAAAGAATCGCACACCCTTGACATGCGAACATGTTTCCCACAAACAGACTCGACATGGGCTTGATTCCTGCTTAGTTTACAGCACAGGCCAACCCCACACCCAGAACTCCGAAGCCTACACCAAAACACCCTTAGTGCCCAAAGGGCAAAAATCGAACGCTTGATCCCAGCTGAGAGAACTGCAATCCTCATATAATTCTTGAAGCCCTTCAACCCTTAAGCCTGAAGCCATGAACTCAAGAAGCTTAAACCGTTCTCGAAAGGAACCCAAACGACTCCGGGAAGAGATGCCGGCCTGAAAGAGTACCTGAACACCTCCAGGAAGAGATGCAGCAGCACTTGCTGTCCCGGTACCGCCATGGCTCCGTTAGTCTCGCCTTCGACGTGATTCCCCAGGACTGCGTTGGCTTAGGGTTTGGGCTGGCGGCTGGATGCCGCCTGCACCCAGAAAATCCTGCAATGCGCACTGGTCCAAGCTAGTTGCGAACTGAAACCCGAGCCATTTTGGCTCCAGGATCGAAAAAGCAAACTTTCTGTGCGTCCCGTCCCGTCTCGCGTCGCGCGGCTCGGTTTTGGGCAGATGGCCATGGAGAAAGCAACAGCGCTCCTGAAGGGTCTGCCTGGCTCTAAGGCCTGGCTTTGGGGGGGGAAGGGGGGGGGGGCTGAGGGGTTTTAATTTAGGGGCCCTAATAATTCATAATTAGAGTAGGGTTTTGGGGGTTCTTTATGCTGAATATAGTGTAATATAACCCTGGGGGTGGAAGGGGGGGGGCTTATGGGGAGTTATAAGGGCTCCTTTAAGGGTCCCTTTAAAGCGGTCTATAGGGATTCTATAAGGGTATAGGGTTTGGGGTCTACTTGGAGGTCCATGGGGAGTTATAAGTGGGGTTATTAAGTAAGGTAACTGCACCTATAACCCATATTGGGGGACTTATAACTCCATGTATAACTACCCATGAACCTCCAAGTAGGGGTTTTAGGGTTTAGGGTTTGCATGGTTTAGGGCTTGGGGGGGGTTGGAAGTCTTCGCTATCTATTCTTACATGGCTTTTTGTGGTGCTTGACGGGGTTTGGCGTTCGAGGCTTCTGAATAGGCTCATAGAGTAAGCATTCCTTATTCGAGAAGCTTTGTTAAGTTCCAAAGCAAGAACCCAGACCCAGGTCCACACCTCGCTGAGCGCCGCGGTGAGTGCCGCGAACTCATCAGAAGAGGGTAAGTGCTGGGCGGCTCTCCAGCTTGGATCGTCGACCCTCTCCGAGGTGGCTTCTGATGTTTGGGCCTAGGGGTTGGGTTTATTTAGGGTTTAGACTTTCGAACTGCATGATCGCATTCGTGCAGTTGCTTCCTCAAGTCGTCCAGCCCATCTCCAAGTGGCAAGACTGACTACCCTTACCCCAAGGGTCCTTTGTGATTATTAGGTACTTGGAATCTTGGGGATACTACCCTGAGACTTTCACCATCGACAACTTATCGTGTGGAGTTGAAACTAAGATAGGGATTTCCGAAAATAGGGGACCCTAATATGGTACCCTAAATAGGAGGATCCTTATTATAAGGACTGCCAAATATGGTACCCCTGATTTTCGGAAACTCCCAGATAGATGCCCCGAGGTGCAGACGGCGCTCCAACAAGGATCCAAGCATCTTGCCGTGCTCCTGGTGGCCACGCAGAAGCTGGGTGCTGAACTACGGTTGATGATATAAATCCTGCATTACCAATAATAAGGAGTATGCCATAGTTCCCATAGTTTAGGGTCCTTAAGGTAATGCAGGATTTATATCATCAACCGTACTATACTGTAGTTTTGGGTGTTGTTGTTGTGGCTGTGCTATGCTTCCATATTAGAACTAACGTGCTAGAAGTGGCTTTTTTGGGTACTGTATGTCGCTCCCCAGGAAGCCTGTCTCCCAGCTGGAGGTCCTGCGTGCCATGGAGTATCTTGCCCATACTTGGGGGTGTAAGGCTTTGGGCGGCATAGCTCCTGCAGTCGTTTTCATGTTTCCTGGCAACCCTGCGGCTCCGTCCTGCATCAGCTATTGTGCCCATAAGTCTTTGCTCTGTGGGTTAGCTTGTTGCCGACTTGAGTGTGGATCCTTGCCTGCCTTGTGCGAGTCGTGAGAGTCTAAGGTTAGGGTAACCCTAAACCCTGAACCCTAAACTCTAAACCGTTCAGGTATGGCGGTGTCTATGTGGCTGCTGGAGACTTGGAGAGCTCAGGTGGCCTCCTCAAGGAGGCTGGCGGCTACATGGAGGGCCCAGCGTTTGTGCTGGTCGCTCCAGCGGAGATTGGGCGCTGAAGTAGTCAATCTGTTTGTTCAGTCTAGAGTTTAGTGTTGATTTGGGGATTGTTGCTTTCTTCTTCTTGGAACGGTGATGAAGGGCAATATTTCCGAGAATAGTGGAGAGCCCTGATTAACAGAGCACTTTAAAAGGGGTTATATTAGAGATTAAGATGAAGACAAGACCCGTAAAGACCGTGCGTTTAATCATCGGGGGCTTAATTCACTCCCGAACCCAGGAGACCATCAAGGGTGATGAGAACTGGACATCCTTCACCTACGACCCTCGCAAGGAAGACAAAGGCTTGCCTGCCTTCGCCACGGACACTTGCCAGTATTACCAGGCAGCCTTTAAACCTTTCTGGCGTGAAGACCATATTCCCTCCCGAATCTCCCTTTGTACTCATTTCCTATCTAACCCCCATGTAGTCTCCATGAGGTTTACCCACTTGGAGGTTATACGTGGGGTACCTAGTATGGGTTATAAGTATAGTTACCCTACTTAGAACCCCACGTATAACTACCCATGAACCTCCAAGTGCACGGGCCCTAAACCCTAAACCCTATTCATTTATAGAATCCCTATTGATCCCTTTAAAGGGTACTGTTTCCCTCGGACAGCTGGAGAAGTAAGGACAGCGTGCGAGTCCGTCAGGAGATCCAGGGCTTTCTTTCCAGAGAGAGCTTCCCTTTGTCACTGTTGGGCAACATTTTACATTTTTATGGGTACTTAAACCCAATAAGGAATAAAAATGTACATTTTTAATCCTATCCCAACAATGAGCTAGTTCCATGCTTGTTTGCTAGGTAGGCCTTTGGGACATTTTATATTTTCACTTATTGGGCTTAGTAGGACCCTATTTACGAATATTTTTCAGAGGCTTTAAGGGGCCAACCTAGTTTGTCAAGTGGGAGTTTCCGAAAATAGGGGACCCTAATATAGCACCCTAAATAGCAGGATCCTGGTTATAAGGACCCCTAAATGAGGTACCCCTAATTTTCGGAAACTCCCAAGTAACGTTTTGAAGACATACATGGGTGGTTGTCAAAATTATGGTCCCTTCTTGGGTCCCTAATATAGTACGGCATCCAGTATTTAGGGTACCCGAACAGGGACCTTAATTTTGAATTTTGACAACCACCCAGATCTAAGTGTTTAGGAGCTAGGGCTACGTCCTGGGGGGTTAAAGGGTTTGCAGCTTAGGAGGCCGGAGGGCTTGGCGTGAATAAGACCTAGTAACTAATAAGTAATTTAAGGTTTTGGGTTTAGGGTTCCGGGCAAGTATTTTAGGGTTTTGGCTTAGGGTTTAGGGTAAGTATGTTTTTGTGAGGTCATGGTTGCTTTAGTTAGCTGAGTCCCTTAGAGCAAGAAGCCAGGTTTGCTGACGCTCATCGCTAAGAAGTCTTTGCCTTCCGCTACGGCCGCTGACGGTGGCGATGCCGCCGCTCTCAGCGAAGGATTGGCTGCTGCTTCGAAGACCGTTACTTAGCCCTCCAGTATAAAGACCCCACCTTTGGACTTTTGGGCTATTCTCGCTTGGCTATGTGAGCCTGTTTGTTTTTCATATCCCACGTAATTTTGCTTTTCGGGCTGGTATAAGTAGTTGGAGTTTGCTCAGCAGGGTGGCCGCTCGGAAGTGAGGTTACCATCCTCTACTCCTCCGACACCGGCCACGCAGAAGAGTGCGCCAAAGCCGTGGCTCGTCAGTGCCGCAACGGCGGCTTTGTCAGCAGCGCCGTGCGCTGTGGTACCATGGATTCCTTCGATGTGGCCGCACTCTTAGTGTGCGCTTGTTCTGAGTACCGCAAGGGAAACCATACGACCTCAAAATCAAAAAAAAATTGAACCCCTTCTCTATCCTGGAACGCCACAAAACCGTGAGCGCTTTGTTTGTTTGAAAGGGCATTCAGTCCTAAACGCCAAACAAACAAACAAACAGAGCTCTGAGGCCGCGCTTGCCTCGGAGCCCTTGGTCGTCTTCTGTGTGGCCACTGCCGGGAAGGGCGAGTTCTGCGGAAACGGCCGGAACATGCTCTTGGGCAGATATCCCTAGAAGGAGGTGGGTTCTATAGTTTACGTGCTTCTGGGGGTCTTTTAGAAATTCAATCGCTGTTTAATGCATACCTTACATCTACACAGAGGCTTCAAAGTAGTTCCTTTTTGGGCTTCATATTTGGAATCCTATACGGTTATCCCGAAACGGAACTACTATGGAGCCTATGGGCAAGCCCAAGATCAAGCCCCGCTCAGGTTCAGCAAGCTGACGGAGCGAAGCGACTTGTCCCTCAGCGATCTGAAGTACCTAAGTCGCATTTGGGAAGACGCACTTAGGAAGAGTTTTCAGGCACCTTCCCGCCTGGTCTGTAGAGGTGACTATTGATGAATCATCGGGGAGGGTTGGGGGGGGTGAAACTTCTACAGCCCAGATCGAGATGCCTTTTCAGGAGTTCACCTCTAGAGCCTCTCATCATATTCAGGACCCCTCCGCAGCTAAAAGAAGCTTGAGCGGTGTTGGGCTATAGTTTACATCATAGGAGGATCCCCCCAGTGCTGAGTGTCGGTTTACGGTTTGCGCGTACATTCCGTGCGAAACCCTGGCGAGCCTTTGCATTGACACGTCCAGATTAAAGGCCCTTTATCGAAAAGAGCCTTATCAATGCCATTTCAGCCACTTGGAGCTTCAAACCTCTTCCAAAGCAAGCAGAGTACAATCCTGAACCGAAGCTTGTCAAAACCGCGAAAATCCCAGTAACACTGTGAAGACCAACGACCCTCTTAAACTCCAAAGCTCTATCCTTACAGCCTATAAACCCTAGAAGCCCAAAACCTCAGTCGAAAGCCTACACCCCACAAGCTCCCAACCCTGCAATCGCTAGCCGCTAGCCCGTTGAACCTCCTAAACCCTGTAGTACAGGCCCTACATATATACTAGACCATACCATACCATACAATGACCCGGTAGAATACAAACATGTATTTAGCATTTTTTATTTTGTATATCAATAATATCTACTATCATATAGAAAAGACTGCGCTAAAAAATCATTTAGTAGTATAGTCTATATTATGATCTAATATGTAACGCCATATATTACACTTGTAAACAGACATGAC